CGAGTGGAGTGCGGAGACGGCGGCGCTGGAGGTGAGCACGTTCGCGCCTGCCCGTGAGCTACGGGGCGAGGCGGAGAGGGTGGCACTTCACATGTGAAGCCGCAAAAATATGGGCACCTTGCAAAGCCGCAAAAATGCAAACGTCTTGCAAAGACGCAGTACAGCTTTTCAAAGACATAGGGACAAGTTGCATGCTAGTTCCTCCTTCCTCGTCTGATGGCAGACAAATTAGGCACTTAAATGCAAGATATCAAATCCAAAGAACGCACACCAAAAGCAAGACTTACAAGACGACGGTCACATTAAGAGCAGAACAAGAATTACAAACAAATTCAGGGCTGATTTATTCATTCATCACGCTTCATCTGAAGGTGTTGCATCGCAGCAGAAGTTTGTAGATACGGACGAACATAACACCATAGAAACACAGAAACAACAAAACAAGCACACACTAACCAGTAGTAATAACAACACCAATGGAGGGCACCGAAGGGCACCAGACTTGCGAGCACAGAGACAGAAGCAGCACCATGGCCAGCCACTTGCTGACTACTGCGGAGGCGGAACCCCAAGTGAGGGTGGGCTCAGGGTGAAGCCATTCTCAGGCTGGTCACAATGGGCAAGAATATAAGCTAGTAACTTACACACTTCCCTAGACTATGTTACTACCTTCATAGTGGGTAGGAACATCTATGTAGTGTCATGCAACGATGTATTTATTAGGTTATAGACTCATTGTTTTTTGGAGTGTGTGATGTTCCGGTAACTTAGCTAGTTACCACAAGCACCTCTCTCTTCATTAAATACGTGCCACATAAGCAAAGTTGTATTGGAGTGTGTGATGTTACTCCTAAGTTCTTCCCCACTGTGACCAGCCTCAAGTTGACAAATTCTTCAATAATCAGATGACTTTGCGGTGTTTCCAAGACAAGGGTTGAAACAGAGGCTATATTATAAGAATGGAGAATTTAAGCTGACAAATACAGACCGTTGAGTTTGTGCTGAATATGAAATGTACGTACATGTTACAAATAGGTTTTGGAGATGTTTTCCACCAATACTAAGCTGAATTAACTAAAGTAGAATTACAAGCTTAAGTATTCCCTGGATCTTTTTTGTAGAGAAAAGACGCAGGCGAGTCCGAGAAGAACTCGCACCTTGCCCGACTTTGAATTAACAAAGCCATCAACCGGCCAGGATACAACTGCAACATACAACTGAAAAGAGCAAATTGAAAGCGGAAGGATACTAAGGCGCTAGAAAGCAGCTAACAAGGCCTCAAATGCTTCGCACAGGAAGGATATACAAAGAAACTAAGTGCTAAAAACGTCGAGGTCCTCTTTCGCAGCAGATCCATAACAAGTAGCATGCCGGCACTGGATTAGAAATGAGTAAGCATCGACATGGCATGCCATCACCAAACACTAAGGACCCCAGCGCAAACCCTTCATCCAAATCCGTATCCGAAGGAGGCCACAACCTCCTCACCTGGATCGCAAGGCGCCGCACCGTCGGAAGACCGGAATGATGGATGAATGCCACCGGAGTATCACTTAGAGAGGGTTAGCGCACACCTGATGCGCCGTCTTGGCACTCCGAGAGCAAGCAGAGGCCACACTGCATATGGCGAGGCCACGTCAGAGGAAAAGCACATGCTTGGACGAAGTAGAGCACACTAGCTGAAGCCGCCAACAAACCCAATAGTGCCCAGCACCATAGAGCTCCCAAGGCGGCACCTTCAAGAAGGAAACGACGTAGAGCACCGCCGCCGCCCACCGTAGTTAGGGTTTTCACCCTTAAGGCTCTGAGCACGGAAGAGGTGGAGCAGACATGACCGACGTCTCCATGAAGAACTACGGCACCCTCGGGCGGCGGCGGCGGCGGCGGCGCGGCCGGCTGAAGCCAACCAGGGATTTCTCCAGGTACGGATCCCCGCCACCAGCTCCCACCGCAGCCTGGACGAAGGCCGACGAGCACGCCAGCGCGACACCAATCCGGAGGGTAGGGAGCACACTGAACATGGGAAGAAGAGCAACATGCAGATCTAGCGTCGCCAGCCACCAGGGCTGCGTGTTGAAGCCCCAGTCCACCGGAAGCCCGCCAACCGCATGGCCAGGCCACCAGCACCACGCCTACCCCATCGCTCACCGCCAAGCCAATGGAGTCTCGCCGGAAGGGCCGCCGCCCCAAATCCAGAGAGCCACACTCACCCATCTCCCAAGAGACGAGCAGCTCGCGCGAAGCCGGCCGATCCAGCCACTGCAACGAGCACCACTCCGAGGCCCCAGGTCACACCGACCCCCTCCAAGCACCCCAACGCCATGATCCAGATCTAGCGGCTCCAAGCAAAGGAAGTGACCCACCGGACGGGAAAGCAGCCAGCAACGGCCAGGCGTGCTCCCCAGGCTGGCCGGCTGCAGGAGGCAAGGCCCCAGCCCGCGGGAAGGCCACCAGGACGAGATCCAGCGGCGGCGATCTCCACGCAGCCCCGTGCCGCCGAGGACGAAGCGAGCGAGCAGGGAGGGGACCCAATGCGGGGATGGACGGAGGAGGAGGTGGAAGGGGTCCCGCCGCCGCCGCCGGCGGCCATGGCGGCGAGGGGAGGCAGTCGAGGGTGGCGGCGCTCGGGGGGAAAACCTAATCGCCCCCGAGTCGCCTGCGCGAGACGACGCGGGGGGTGGGGGGTGATTGCGAGAACCTCCAGTATTCCCTGGATCTAATTCAGAGCAGAACGGGGCGATAAGAACAGAACTGATGTACTTCATACTAGTCTCATCTTTCCAGTCCAGTACTTGGTCAATAGGAAAATGTTACAAATTCTGCAAAGTGAAAATTAAGTACGTCAGAAATGAGTTGATTTTCCTTGCTGAAACTGGTCACAAGAAAGGCTTGCCACATAGTGATGTGGATGATTACCTTCACTTTCAGGATATAGGCGCAAAGATTTGGCAAATACAGTAGAGAAGAATTGTAAGAGATGAGTAGTTATGAAGTCTTGACACTTCTCTGTTTACTCCTTCTATGGTAGAGTACTAACCTTCTTCTTTATGGCGGCCCATCATTTTGTGCTTCTTCAAAACAAATTGAGGTCGAACTAGCCCTATCACTCTACTTGATTTCTTTACCCAGTCCATCATATATTTTTTCTTCAAAAAGGAGGATAATCCCTGTCCTCTGCATCTCTGATGCACACAGCCAACCCAGTCCATCATATATATGCCTCGTTTTCCATCATCATCAAAGAGAAGATGAATCAACTAAGCTTTAGGGGGTGCAGGTTCATATTCTTTGCCATGTAATAAAGTGGAATGTGTCGAGCAAATTGTCATATTCGATATCTTAATGGTTATTTCCCTAGGCATGGGAGGTATCAGGATGCAAGAAGTTGTGAAACTAGCTCTTCCGTGAAGAAGTTCACAGAGCTAATGTTAATTAACTCATAATCATATCTGTTCACACGCTGCAAATGCATTCGCCCTGTTATGTTGTTGGCACATTTAGAAGCATACAAATAATGTCGTGTTTAGAAACCTAACACCTTCGCTCTCCCTGACCAGGAAAGCTTGCGGGGACGACCGACATCCTCTGTCACTCCTGGTCAGCTCTCTAGAAAACCCGAAGGCTGCCCAGAGATGCCCGAAGTCACTGACCC